GGGTGAGAGGATTCACCGGAGACAGAGTGGGGAGCAGAACAGGCAGATCGACGAAGTACACTGCTGAAGGGAGCAGCGGGTGGGTCAGGAGAGGTCTGCCTCGCCCTGTGGATCTCCTCGTGGCAGGCAGGAATCGAACTCATGCGGAGGTGGCTTAAGCTTCTTAGTACAGCGCTTTAACCCACTGAGCCACCAGGGAGGGTCTGAAATTTATTTTTTTACAAAGACACCCTCTGTCCAGTACTTAGGAATGACGAAATGTTCAAAATAATGAATGGATGGCCCCAGATCCAGCCTGTTGGTTCCTCTGTCTCTGCCCCAAATTACAAACGATTCATTTCACTGGATGACACTACATCAGACAGGCTGGAAAGAACCCACATGACACATTGCCCCTCAAGCCCTACATTCAGGACGAAGAACAGTTTCACCCCCATTTCTCTTTAAAGCAAAAATTGAGAGTGGAAGTCAAACAAAGCAGTGGAACATGGCCTGGGAAAATGATGGGTCTCTCACACCCAGGCCACGGTGGGGCTGAGCCCTCACCTCATCCACAGATGAAGAGAATGGAGCAAGGCAGCTGGCAAGGGCCAGATAGCCTTGGCACCCAGGGCTTCCAATGCCCCCTCAGGGACCCTTCTCAATTCTGTGTCGCTTTTTTCTGGCCTGGCTTTGGGTCCCTGCATCTTCCCACAATTATTCCCAAACAGGCTGAGGCTGCTTTCCCCACACCAGGAAGTTAACAGACTCAGCATGAAACGTCCCGATGAGCCAATGTCCCTGCTCATGCAATTTCAGGACTGCAGTCTATCCAGCGTCTGGCTGCAACTCCCAGTTGCACCAACTGGCTTGGGGCCTTCCAGCCAGACTGTACCAAGGGCCGTGGCTCATTCCTCACTCTCCTGCGTCTGCCAACCCCTTTTCTGGACCCGACACAGGCTGCTCCTACACAACCACTCTTCCTCTCTCCACTCCCTTTACATCCCATTTCCTCCTGGTTAGTCATGGTGAAGTCACCTTAGCCTCTGGCTTCCAGGCCTCTCCCTAAGGACGGTATGTCTGTGTAGGGAGAGGGGAGTTGAGAAATGGTAGGCAGCATGCAGCAAGACATCCTGGGAAAGCCAGGCTCTGGAATCAAAGAGATACCCCAGCTCTGCTAGGTGACCAAATGTGTGACCTTTGGCTAATGATTTAGTCTCCAATCCTTTGCCAAAAAAGGTGGGAAAGCCAGGCTCTGGAATCAAAGAGATACCCCAGCTCTGCTAGGTGACCAAATGTGTGACCTTTGGCAAATGATTTTAGTCTCCAATCCTTTGCCAAAAAAGGTGGGGCTGGGCCCTCCCTAGTGGTGCAGCAGGTTAAAGCACAGCACTAAGAAGCTAAAGCCACTTCAGCATGAGTTCAATCCCCGGCCCAGGAGGTGACCCACATGGCCAGGCAGACCTCTTTTGACCTGCCCGCTGCTCCCCTCAGCAGTGTACCTTGTCAGTCGGCCTGTTCTGCTCCCCACTCTGT